CCAAGGGTGCATTCACAAGTAGTTATGATGCTTTTGAAGTCCATTAAATCCATTTCCACATAGTAAAATTCGTTCTATTTGAAAAATGGTGCATTTTATAGCCTATATATTTGGCTCACTTACTACAAATCGTCGCTTGAGGTCTCCAGTAGATCTGTTTTCAATATTGATATTTTCACAAATTATATGCAAAAAATATCATGACATTTTTGTAATATACATATAATTTATATATATATTTTTTTTTATTGCTTAAATGGGTGGACGAGCTCACAGCCCACCCGTTGTTAAGTGGTTACTGGAGCCCATAGACACCTACAACGTAAATGCGCCACCCATCTTGAGATATAAGTTGTAAGGTCTCAGTATAGTTACAACGGCTGCCCCACCCTTCAAACCGAAACGCATTACTGCTTCACGGCAGAAATAGGCAGGGCGGTGGTACCTACCCGTGCGGACTCACAAGAGGTCCTGCCACCAGTAATTACGCAAATTATAACTTTTTGCGGGTTTCCATTTTATTACACGATGTTATTCCTTCACCGTGGAAGTCAATCGTGAACATTTGTTGAGTACATATTTCATTAGAAAAATTGGTACCCGCCTGAGATTCGAACACCGGCGCATCGCTCAACACGAATGCACCGGACGTCTTATCCCTTAGGCCACGACGACTTCACTTATATTACTCAATTATAACAAAAGTTTGTTCCTAGTAAAAAAAAACGCTCTGCTGTATTCTGTTTAGTTAGAGTACGCACGGTACATTACTAAGACGTAATACATTAAAATCGACACAACAATACACATATCGGGTCGTCACAGTCGCCTGGTCAGACGGAGTTCCCACAGTGACCCGCCATAATTTATAGTACGGGCAACGTCTTGGCACAACTACCTGTGACCGCAGGTGCACTCGAAGAAAACAGGGATGTCGAAGGCAAGTAATCGTTAATACTACGCGTTTAAGTTAATTGTGTTTTTTTTTTGTTTTTAGTAGTAGTTTTTTTACTGGTTAGAACACGTATTGTGATCCTTCAGCGGAATTACTACTACCTATTTTTTCCGTAGGGCAGTAATGCGTTTGGGTTCGAAGGGTGGGGTAGCCCTTGTACTGTAAAATCTAAACTTAGAACTCATGTCTCAAAGTGGTTACATTACTTTGAGTAATACAACTCTTTGGGATCCTGTGACCACTTAACACGAGGCGGGCTGTGAGCTCGTCCGTCTAAGCGATAAAAAAGTTAAAGCATAAACATAAAGTAATATGGAAGCGAAAGAATCTAAGTTAATTGCTTTGACATTCGTGGAAACACTCCCAGATTTTTTTTATTACCTATAAGATTTTTAACGGCCACCAAAACTCATAGACACTGACGCGTGAAATCGGTTTCTCACCCTGAAACATACGACTATCGTCTCAATTACAACTGCTATCGGCCTGCCCTTCAAAACAGGACCGCAAATGCTTCATGGCAGAAATAGGCAGATTGATGACTTACAACTTAACCAAACTTCTTCATTTCAGAAAAAAACTGAACATACTGAAGAACCTGTCCATGTGGGAGGATAACGGAGGGAAAGATCTTTCACCGAGCGGGTGATATTGTTGTTGAATGTTTGTTGTTCGGAACTCTTGTTTAAATGCAAGCTTGTCTTGAAAATGTCGTAAGCGAGATTCAGGCATCTGTCAAATATCTTGCGTTATATGATGGCTACCCGCCACAGTCCAAACAGAGAGTTACTATCTTTCGATAGACTCAATCAAACGATATTATTGTTGACCATATAAACTGTTTTATAATTTCAGGGTGAAAATTTACTACAGATTATAACTCCGTAGCAGCTGATGAGTTGTCGTAAACAACAAAAAACACCGATTTGAATTTTTACATAACTCCCTCGCGACAACCCTGTGACCAGCCAGCATGGTATATTGTGTGATTTTCTTAAGTCGCGAACACATGAGGTCATAGTTAAATAAGTAAAAACTTAAGGTGGGGCGTTATGGGAACTGAGCACGGTAACATCACCTTGTAATGCGCTCAAAGCATTACCGAACTAAACCATGAATTAACAACGTTTATAACTTTAATTGCTTGTCAGATTGAACGAGGATTAAATGCGTTTTTTTTTACACTTTCGCTGTTATCTAGCCAGCGCTTTATTTTATTCATAAAAGTTACATATTTTGAAATATCCATAAAAAACTGTATGGGAACTTTTGGAAATACTGAAAAGAACACGAGTTAAGTCGTTAATTTAAAAACTACTTTGGTTTTGAAGTAGCCGAGACTGGTAATATTAATTTCGTAAATTACGTTAACATTCAAAATTATTGCCAAAATATTTCTAGTAGAAGATTTGGGTTTGTAAATAAGAATTAATGCATATCCGAAAAAAATATATTATTAGCTTTATAACGCGTTCTGAGAAAACAAGGACACACTTCCAACTAACTAATTAATAGAGCATTTGTGCATTGAATATACAACGCGATCTGAAGAATAGAGAAGAAAAAACGCACAGAAAAGGATGAATTCTTATATGTGAATCGTTATAAAAACTGTAATGACGGCCATTGTTAATACACCAAGGATACTTTGTTTTTATGTTCCCATTTAATGGCACGTTAAGTTTCCGTGATTGAGTAAACAGAATCGTTATTAAAACTTTTTTTTTCCTACCTATGCTGATAGCCTTGAGAGGCCATTTCAGCTTCGCCCTAACACGTAGATGAGCTCACGGGGCTCAAACCGGAGTCTTGCTAACACTGGCCCTAGCAAGAGCAGTGCTTCGCAGAATCTGCCACCGGGTCGGAAACGCGACCCACTGAGAAAAACCGGCGAGAAACTTTGTGGACTTTGTCTATGGGTTAATTCGCAACTCGAGCCCTTCATCGCAAGCGACGGGTTCAACGAGGACGGTGACAGGGGTTAAAACAACTTGTCTGTGATATGAGAGATGTTAATACTCAACGTTTTAGGTTACGTCAGCAGTGGTCAATCGAATTTTACCTCGTCTAATGTTGACGACTTGCCTGTTGATGAGTGAAGAATCACCTACGAGAAACATGGTATCGAAGTATCAGACATTTTTTAATACCTCATTATCCAAACGGGCTTGCTGCAAACTTGATGGAAATTAGTCGATGCCGCTCTTGGGCAATGGCGATGCTAAAGGCACACGGCCTGGTTTGAGGAAGACATGTCATGACTTAGCTGTTTTTGGATCTATCATAGTTGTAAAGTGGTTACCGGAGTCCATAGACATCGCAATATGTATGCAGACACCCAACTCTAAGCATAACAGGCCTCAATCGTATCATACGTTAATGATGATGATCATGATATGTTAAATGGAATACCGAAGCATTTATTTTATTTTACAAACAATAGAATACCTGCTAATATCAGTCACGTTTTCTTAACAACTTCATAATATGAATTTTCTTACTTTAAATTTAATTTTAAATTATGATGTAATTAAAGATTATCAAAAATCAAAACGAACAGTGCTCACGTGTTATTTCAGCCTGGTTTATTAATCATTTGAAAACATAAAAATAAGTTAATTGAATTACTTTTAATATATTTTTTATTCATTTTATGATACCAGTACAGCAACATACGGTCCGTTCTCACGGCTACGGTACAGAGCCCACGGTATGTTATCAGCTCAATGAAAAATATACCTCATGACCAAACCAACAAAGATCAAGACTGAAAAATTTACTACAACACAGTGAAAACCAAAGCTTTTTGCTTTGCACCTCTAACTAGATATTACTTGAAAAATTAAAGATAAAATGGATGTTTCTATTGTCTTATTTTAAATGAGGAAAATTAAAATGTAAGTTACTTGATGATTCAATATTCACTAATGCAATGCATTCATCTCGTAAAGACGATTGTGTACCTAAATCACGAACCCAAATATATTTAAATATATATAAAATAAGCGTTAGTTATTTAAGAGTCAATTAATATCAAGATAATAAGGTTTCTATTTCAAGGCGCAACGAAAATTAACGAAAAATTACATGTGCTTATTAAGTTTTATTATTATTTTTTATTGCTTAGATGGGTGGACGAGCTCACAGCCCACCTGGTGTTAGGTGGTTACTGAAGCCCATAGACATCTACAACGTAAATGCGCCACCCACCTTGAGATAGAACTTCTAAGGTCTCAGTATAGTTACAACGGCTGCCCCGCCCTTCAAACCGAAACGCATTACTGCTTCACGGCAGAAATAGGCAGGGTGGTGGTACCTGCCCGCGCGGACTCACAAGAGGTCCTACCACCAGTAAAACTCGTATTTATGACATACAACAGTTTCACAACTAAAACTGTTTTGTTCTATTTGATTTTGCAAATGAGCCTATAGTTACTCAGTAATCAACTGCGGAAATACAACGGTATTGAGTGTGTGAATGCACAGTGCTTTTAACCAAAACATCCAACTTCAATTTCCATAACTACGTCATTTTCAGACTTCAAAAATGATGTCACGTTTAAATCTGCACCACACGTGTAGACGATAATAAATAATAGCTTAAAAAACTAACAAAATACGCTTTTATAGAAAATCCATTTTTCATTTGATATTATCAAAATAACCCTTCTACTCATATCTGTTTATAAAATATTTATAACTACTGATAACATGCACCCCACGCTTTTTTTTACAATAAAATGATTTTTTCTTACACTATTTTTAATTCAAATTTATTAAAATTTATTTATAATTTTTTAGTTGGATTTTCTATAAAAGCGTATTTTGTTAGTTATTTTAAACTATTATTTATTTTTAATTTTTTTGTTGAATTTCAATTTTTTCAATTAAATATTGAATTGTCATGGGTTCCTAATAAGTATACCAAATTTCGAGTTAATCCGACGTTTTGAAGGGGGTTAAAATCATGTTCAAAGATTCCGTTACATACTAACATACATACGTCTGAAGCTAATAAAAGCGTATTAAAAAGTATAAAACTTACCTTTATGTGGGTCATTCGATGGTAATATAGATTGGAGCTGGCCGTGAATCGTTTTCCGCAATGCTGACACTGATGTGGCTTTTCGCCAGAGTGTATCCTTCTGTGTGTGTTCAGACTGCTCGATGTGCTGAAACCTTTGTTGCACACCATGCACACGTGAGGCTTCTCTCCTACAAAATAAAATTTAATACATTTTAGCCTAATCGCGAAATTAAATATTAAAAATCCTTTGTTCACATCGATCATGATTTTATTGTTCGTGAGAGGTAGTACATTAAAAAACAACAAGAACCAACTTAGTGTCGAATTTCAAGAACATTGAATGTTAAAAGAAACATTATAAACTAAGTTTCAAAGTATTAATAAATTAATAAATTATAAAAATGTTTAAAATTAAAAGGTGTGTGATAAAATATAAAATAATTATCCGTTTATACCTGTATGTGTCCTCATATGTCGTTTCAATAACGAAGGTCTATCAAACGCCTTTCCGCAGACTTCACAAGGCAGTAGCGCTCTCTCAGACTTAGTCGGTCTTCTTTGGATTTTCGGTGTCATGTCCAACAGCTCATTCGATGACCCAACAGATAGCGACGCCATGGAATCTCCTGATATCGATTTATGTTCATCCTCTGGTCCAGACGGAGGAGATATTGGCAAAAGGACTCTCGAAAGGAGTGATGTGGATAGATCTAAAGGAGAATCTGCGAAAAGAATGTCTAAATTAGTGACATTCATCAAATTATTTAAAGTGCCCTAATGATGCAAGTAATAACAAAATTATCTCAAGATCGCTATTAGCTAAAGTTTCTAGTCTAAAACTGAGCTTTCATCCATAAAGCATGCATTATACGAACTGCACTGTTATTACAATGAAGGCATCACAATTGCGGCCAACACAATCTAAAAGCAAGACCGTTGTATAGATGACCTTAAGTTTAGGTTTACCACATGGTTAAATATTTGACAGTGCCGACCATAGCTATCAATTAACTAAAATGAAATTTATGGTCCACCTAATATTAAGTAGTTCATAGGCGTGAGTGCAGTTACACCCACCTTAAGTCATTAAAGTCGTAATTGCAATAGTGTAATTTTATATCAACCCTGTCCGCCATGTATTTCTTTATGTCAGATATATTTAATAAACATGTCAACTACCGTTACTCAAGACAGGAATTAGTCTGATATTTAGGGGGCCAAATTATTTAGCAATATTAGAGTCAAGCGGCAGAAGTCTGAAGCCCACATTTCCTATTGCTTTTGCTTTAATAATAAGAAATAACTACATGAATGCATGATAAATTGGAGTCTAAATGGATCACATAATATCTAACGGAATCACCTTAAAAGCTTTCAAACAATCAATCAACACCTCTTCTGTTGTATATTTACCCTTATTATCGAGCTTGTCTATCTCGTTGACTAATAAAAGTTAATTTAATTTCATAAGCCAATTAGTAAAATATATTTATACACATTTATAAATTTAATACTGTTTGATGTATCACATCAATATACCTATATTGATATTTTAATACGAATTTCAACAGCCAGGTTATTAAGCCGCATTAATATGTAAAACGTCAATTCTCTTTAGAAAACATCATAATTTTTACAATTTAAATTTTTCTCTTTATTTAATATTGAATTCCGCTGAACATAAAACATAACTCGGGGCAAATTTAACGGTCATTAATAAAGTTTAAGAAATTTTTAATTCCAGATCAAATTTTTATCATGTTCCAATCAAGCGAAAATTTTATAATGAACCCATTTTATTGACAACCGTAAATTTTGCTATGGATGTTTAGACAATTTATATTTATTACGACCCGTCTTGGCTCTTTGAGCGTCGGTTTAATTGGCGTTCTAAATTTCGTATTTCCAACTCCATCGAACCCTACACTTGTCTTCGTCTAATATACGAAATGTGTGAAATACTTTCGAATGTGCCAATGGGAAATGTGTTCAACGACTAATCCTGTGGATTTTTGACAATATTCCAATTCCCATTTTTATTATCATCTGTAATTATTAGTACATTCTGTTCTCTTAGTTATTTACAGACTCAAATGTACAGAAAACAAACCAGTCATATCTCTGGCAAAAATGAAAAACAATTATGAAAATATCCTATAAGTTATCGATAAAATGAAACTACACAATATGTTGATGCCCGTAATAAATCCTTAGCGCTAAGTGCCGTGTCACTAGATGGTAAGGATTAATTAACGGCTACACGCTCAGTACGAGATCCGCGGATAGTTGTATTTATATTCGTTCGACTGATGCTCCGAGATGTCGGAATGCCTAGATATGGTATGGTGGGTGATATGATCTGTCTAGCGGCAGCCTTTAGATTTCATTCCTGTTCGAAATCGTATCAGCGTTCTATATTTAATAATTATTATAGCTGACATTCGTTTATTATATATGATGCAAAAACTTGTAGTAGGACCGGTTGTGAGTCCGCACGGGTAGGTACCATCACCCTGCCTATTTCTGCCGTGAAGCAGTAATGCGTTCGGTTTGATGGGTGGGGCAGCCGTTGTAACTATACTGAGACCTTAGAACTTATATCTCAAGGCTGGTGACGCATTTTCGTTGTGGATGTCTATAGGTTCCAGTAATACACTTAACATTGTGTTGTGGGCTGTGAGCTCGTCCTTATCGATCTAAGCAATAAAAAAGCAGTCTGCTAAAAACAACGCAGTTTGCTTTTTAAACATATTCGTTAACTTAACCGACCGCGACGGAGCAACGCAAGCAATCCCCTGGATTCACTCTCGGTGCTTTTCGGACCATCAAGCACCGGTCATCGTCCTCGTCTAACTAACCTCAGTGAACTAACGCATAGAAACAGCCCACTGAGTTTCTCGCCGGATCTGCTCAGTGGATGGCCATCCCGATTCGGTGGTAGATTCTGCGTAGCACTGCTCTTGCTAGGGCTAGTGTTAGAAAATTCTCTGAAGTTGAGCCAATGAGCTCATCAACCCGTTCGGCCGGCTGGAATAGCCTCTTAGGCTACCAGCAAATACGTAAAAGAAAAAAAAACATTGGGCATGACATGAGGCACAGTCTGCCACTTCTATTCTCCTACTTTTTCTCGTTTAAGCCGCTGAGTAACAAGAAAAAATGTATTCATATTTGTATCTAGTTTGAGCGGTGCCGTCGGCATTATCTTTTATGTTCAACTTTCATTTATACTAAAGCATTAAATTATATCAATATTTTTCATACTGAACATATTATTTTATTATCTACTTGTTCAACTCAACTTCAAAGTTATTGATGTATGCTTAGTCGTATATAAATCATTTCAATAAAAGGGGGTAAAATTGGCATAGTTATTACAGATTGCTCATTGGTGTAGAGACTGTAGTACCACGGGGCTTTGTAGATGTTCTGGGTCTGAGTCAGTATCTATCATAGGCGTTCTGGGTGTATGAAGTCCAGGTCAGAATTGTGTTGTAGTGACATATGCTCTTTTCCGGTAGTTCCAAGTAGAACTCATTATGGATTCATCACTCGTCATGGGTCGTACCCGTATTAAACAATGTATACCACGAATAAGAATCACTTTTTAGGAAGGAAGGATTACTGGTGGTACTTTTCTAGTTACACCAGGACAGGTGGGCGAGCAAAGGCCCAGCCAGGATGGATTTATATATGCCGCGTGGGAGGTCGCCAATGCTATGGACTGATCAAATCAAGACTTTGGTGGGAAATCCACTAAATAAGTGCAACAGGATGGCCTCGACCAAGGAGAGATGGCGGGACATCGTGAGACGCGTCATGTCTGCCTGCCCCCTCCAACACTACATGATGATAATGACCACTCTATCAAGAGTGAAACGAAAGAGAAGAAGAATATTTAAACTAGTGGCATATCCAAAAAAAAACATGCTCTGACCAACCCTTGTTGGCTTTGTTATGAAATACCATAGATTAATTGCTTTCAAGACTCTCTCTCATCAAGTCGATAAAGTTGTTCCGGTCACTAAAATCCACTTCAATAATGAGAAATTAAGAAATGAAACTTTTCATTTGAATAAACGACAAAAAACGAACAAAGACGACGAAAGGGTTAACAAAAAAAAAACAACAATTCATCTATTCAAATAGACAGTATCGGTTCGCAATTTCAATAGGTCGTTTCCTAAGGGAGATAAAAAACCAATCAAGGCGGCTCCGACTACTGCACGAAAGCGATATTCATAGTCCGAGCTTATTGTTTTTGATTGGTTTTTGTTTTTCCTGTACTGTAGTTGTTATATATAAAAAAAATTTGAGAAAAAACAAAAAATAAGCCCGCTGAGTTTGTTTCGCCGGTTCTTCTCAGGACTGTGGCTTTTTTTGGAACCGGTGGTAGAGTTAACATTGTTATTTATATTTTGACATTCAACAAGTGTGTTATTCTGACATCTAAGTTGAAATAAATGATTTTGAATTTGAATTTGAATTATAAAGTTACCTCGCTTGCTCTTATCCAAATGTAGATACTGTCAATTCGTAACATAGGATCAGCAGGCTGGTTGTAAAGTGATAGAGATATTATGTGAGATAACCGTACCTTTTTGGCATTCATTATAGTATTTCGGTATATTAAGACAAATCACAATTAAAATTATAACAATTGTCGCGGCAAATAAAGCAAAATCCCATTGTACAAATTACTTTTAGAATTATCAACCGTTTTGGTTTTTGTTCGCTGTTATGTAGAGATAACTTCTCTACTTCTTATAGTTCAAGTTCATTGACCTATGACAATAAAGCTATTTTGAAAGAAATGAAGTTATATAATATTTTTTCCACTCTAACAATTTTTTCATTCATTTAATCATTTAGATTGTTTAGGTTCCGATATGGGATGAAATAGTTTTAATGTACTCTCAAAAATTCTTGAGTCCCTGTTTTGATCGTAATGCGCTGAAGAAATAAGGAAATATTACTATAGATTAAAGTTACTTCAATACATTGAAGATAGCAGCTAATATAGTCTATAAATTTATGTACGCTAAACAAATTATTTTAACAGCTCACACCTGACTTGTGCTTATAGTTGAGGGGTATAGGTTAAACGGACAAGAATGAGTTTAAATGCCAAAATTTAACAAGGTATACGGTATTATCGAACATTTAGCTCCAAGCAAGCTGCAATCCATTCCGTTGATAATAAAAATAAATTACGTCAAAGCATAATAATACTGCTTCTGTATCGACTCTAATATAGGTATGTTACTAATTAATTAGTGTACCACATTCCTTAAAAAATATTTCAACAAAAAAACCTTACAATTAATTTTATATTCAAAATAAACCCTATAGATTCGAGCCGCTTCACAAGTGAGTCCTTTGATCTGCCGCGCCGTGATAGCGGGAGCCGATATCGCGGCAGATGGAAATGTATGTATCTCGAAACTTGTTTGCGCGATTGTACCATGGGAAGCGAAATATGGATTGACTTTTTGATTGTGTTTGTTAACGCCTCGATTCTTGTTAAGGGTACATACTCTTTTTAAAATATCGCACATTATTTTGTGCCGCTTATCAAATTAGTTTGCGATGGAAATAAAAAATTAAATTTCGAGTTAATATTTTTTTGGAAGGAAGGAATACTGGTGGCCCTGAGGACTTGACAGTTTCATCAGCAAATATGAGCACGGGCTCAGCCAGGAGGGACGGGATTAGCTAACAGCTGCTCAAGTGCCTCCAGAGGAGACCTAACAGCTTAGGGGCAGCTGCTTTGCTAATGCATCTACTACCGGATCGGAATCGCGACCCGCTGAGAAGATCCGGCGAGAAACTCAGCGGGCTGATGCATGGGTTAGGTTGCACGTCGACCTCTTTGTCGAGTTCGAAGAGTACGGTTACCGGGGTCCCTAAGCCTGCCCCTAGTATTAGAGCTGAAGGCATCTAATGCAAAGGTTATTGGATCTGATGGATCCGTAAGGATGTCTATAATCTCCGGTAGTCACAATATTAGGTGAGCGGTCATTCATTCATCTAGCGCCATAAAAAAGTTATTATTATTATTTACATAAATCATTATATCAATTAGCTTTTGTCATTGTTTTCTAAAATGAATGATTTGAAAAGTTTCTTGTGTGTGTATTTAAAAAAAAAAAGAAAGGCTATTTATCAGATCCCTTTTTAAAGACGTACTACATATTTGCAGCACATGCCAATACACTGCAACGCAATAAATGGAAAATATTCGATTTTATAAGTGCAAAAGTATGTAGCCTTACTACATTTATCATACGAGAATGTCATCTTGGACTGATATGAAAACGTTTTAAGAACACAGTACATAATATTATCCGCGTGGATTTAAATTGATTCTGTGCTAATGAAATCGTTCTAAATATACATTTCTAAAGCATACGGGTGGAGTCGAGATATAAATATTTTTCACAGATTGACTTCCACGGTGAAGGAATAACATCGTGTAATAAAAATCAAACCCGCAAAATTATAATTTGGGTAGCTACTGGAGGTAGGTCCTCTTGTGAGTCCGCACGGGTAGGTACCACCGCCCTGCCTATTTCTGCCGTGAAGCAGTGGTAGTGTCGGTTTGAAGGGTAGGGCAGCTGTTGTAACTATATGGGACCTTAGAACCGATATCTCAAGGTGGGTGGCGCATTGGGGCTGTGGATGTCTATGGGCTCCAGTAACCACTTAACACAAGGTGGGCTGTGAGCTCGTCCACCCATCTATGCAATGAAAAAAAAGAAAATTGCGGGAATCCAATGGAGCGTAGCTGGGTTCCGCTAATCCTTTACAAATATCTTGGTGGCTTCGGTGGTGGAATGCTTAGTCATTGAATACCATATAACTAGTCCTCCCGGTCGACTCTCGATACTTCTAGGCATTCCAAGCACTTCTCGTCAAACCTGTCGAATAGGAGGAAGGTTCGACATGCAACTTAACCCACAGACAGAGAGACCACTGAGTCTCGCCGCATCTTCTCAGTAGGTTGCGATTCTGATCTGGAGGTAGATTCAGCGAAGCATTGCTCTTGCTGTGGCATATGTTAGCGATGTTTCGAGCTGAGCCCCGTAAGCTTCCCTTACAAGTTCTGGGAAGCTAGTATAATCCCTTGAGATCCCTTAACCGATTGAGATTTCTACAGTTGATGTTTGGTATTTTATAGAAGGCCCGTGATTTACCATGTTGAGTGTGTTGAGAACTAAAACGTGTGATGTCTTAAAAAATAAAACGCAACTATTGATAATTTATGTTACTGGCCAACCTAATCAATTGATTCAGTGTAAATAGTTAATCATAAAAACTCATACATAGAAAATTACCGTGTGAAAGATCCCACTTAGTCACGTCATGTTAATTTAAAAAAAAAGTAAACAAATTAATCAAGATAATACAACAAATTGATAGAAAAAAAATTTAAGGTGCTAGATTCTTAATGGGCATCCAATGGTCCGAACGTTAGATTCGCATCGTTAAATGAGTATTTTGTACCTGTTTGTTGCTATTAAATATTGTAATCACGCGAAATTGGATATAGATTATTATTTAGAATTCAGAAACTCGTCATTTTAATCGAATGGGCGTGTATTTTTTTTATTTTGAACGACCTTGCTTGATACATAAAAATGAATCGTTTCACATTCAATGACAGCAATTTGGCTGGAATACAAAAGTTACCCTCTTGGTCTTAAAGCATAAGAGGCCCGGTGAATCGTATTGATAAAAATAAAGATGCAACAGTATTGCATGCGAAAACAGATGGTTGCACCGTAATCCGTTGCGTTTGATCCATATTTGTAAACATCATATTATTAACCATGCCTGTTTGAGGCAGCGACTCATACGCCAACATAGAAAACCACCCGTGAAGAGACAGCAACAAATTGAAATTTTTTAACACATTAGATAAACAAAACGCGAGAGCCAGCGCCATCACTGTCCTATTTCTGAAGCAGCTATGCGTTTCAAGAATGCGGTAACCGCTATACAATACAATTGAGTTATCGACCTCATGTCTCATAGTCGGCAGCTCATTTCCACTGTGATATCTATGGGCTGCAGTAATCACTTAACGCTTGATGGCTGATTCAAATAAAAATGGCTTAAATAGAAGAATTAGCGGTACACAGCAACGGGCTAATACATAGCCACCGCAATACAATGTTCTCGTAATGCTAACAGCCGCGTACAATGGAGGAACAATGCTCGACGTGTGGCCGCTTTGGATGCGAGTGGCAACGACCAAACGCAACCCTGTCCATCAACAGCCACGCCTACTCTGCCAAGAGTATCCGACTAGGAAGAAGAAGAAGCAAGGGGCTCTGCTTGGACGTCCTCGTACCCTGGAAAGCATCTTGCCGACACAAACTAGCAGTTGCACTGTCCCGTCATTCGATTATAATAATATGGTCACTAAAATATGAAAAGAATGCGCTCCCGTTTTAAAATAATTCCATTTACAATAAAATTTAATGTTTCAGTTGAATTGGTACGCAATTAGTACACGTAAGTACCGCTCATAGCCAGTTAAAATATTGTTAAGTATTTAATAAAATCTGTCAACGGCCAACGGTCATTGAAGCTATTCTCATAAACATTATTGCCTGGTTATACGTAATAATTGTGAAGCGGTTTTATGTGTTTTAATGTTGGTACAAATACTATACTAATATAACTTTACGAACAAAAATTAAATTCGTTTACCTCAATGAGCATTGGTCTAGCACAGCCTTTCCCAAAGTGGGCGATAACGCCCCCTTGTGGGCGCTGGAGGACCCAAGGGGGGCGGTAAGAGACCCAGAAAAAAATTAGGGCATTCTGTAGAGGTCGGGTAGGCGATTGGTAATTTCATCTAGGAGGACTCTTAGACACCGACTGGGCTCTCGCTATAGTGGTTCTTAAGTAGGTGAAAAAATGGAGCCGTTAAAAAATAATTTATTCTCAAAGTGGGCAGTAGACTAAATAAGCTTGGGAACCGTTGGTCTAGCACATAGTGTAACCCAACATACTTAGCACTGGAGGTACCAGAACCAACGGCGCGATCAGACTGGAATGCCTGAATTTCTTAAGTCACAAATAGGAGGAATCATTTAACCCATCTGTGAGGATTAAGTGCCTTACTCAGAATAAATTTACGGAAAACTAGGACCTAGGACTAGGACTAAGAAAGAATTTGACCATGAAGACTGATTAGTGAAAACTGCGACAACGGATCAGTTAAGGAAACAGAATAACAGTAGCTTTGGAAAACGAGGGTGCACATCTTGTAAAGATTTCGTGACCACAAAAACTATGATGAGAAAATAGAATAAAAATGACTAAACATACCATGCATTGATATTGCCAGTTCTGTATGTACCTAGCTCTGTGTAACATAAATAGCTTTTTTATTGCTCAGCTGGATGAATGAGCTCACGGGCTACCTAATAAGTGGTTACCGGAGCTCATAGACATCAACACCTAAATGCCGCCAACCACCTTGAGACATGAGTTCTAAGCCTCAGTTTTATAGCACAATGGTTGCCCAAATGTCAAACCGAAACGTATGGTAGCTACCCGTCCGATATCACTGTGTAACCCACAATATTTCTTGCACGTAAATTATTGCTTACCTTCCAAAATAGAGTCCATGGTCTGTCTATACAGGTTATTCCTCATTTTGACGAAGAACATTTCTTCTGGTCTCTCTGGTAGGTAGTAGACGACGAGCTCCGTGTGAGCAGACACCGGCTTCACTGTCTCGTAGACTGGTTCGCCCTTTACTTTTGTGCAGACTAGGTTTACCTATTAGAAGATTAGGCTATTAAATCATTACAAAGCCAATACTAGTAGTTTCTACTATCGATAAGGCATTTTTTTTAAGTTATACTTCTTTAGGCGCATTATGAAAAAATTATGGGAGTGAAATTTTACGATGCGCGCACCGTGACACGAAATTAACAGAAATGAAGTTGCCCACTAAAGAAAAAATGCTACCAACAAAACAGAAATGGAAGTTCTGTTAGCGGCGCATGTTGGCACGCACGCCGCCTCTGTTCACTGTGTATTTTTTCTTATTCTTATTCTTTTCTATTTTTATCTTTATAATCTTTATCCAAATGATTTGAGTTTCTACATTTAAATCACGTGTTTTCAATTTGTTTTCATTATACAAGTGCGAATTTTATATGTGCGTCTGAATTATAATCAGAAGTGATTTAAATTGAATATTTAAATCTATACTAATTAAGATTAGAAAATATTTGTGAAAAAACTGTGCTCATCAACCTTCCTAAGTGCTCCAATACAATTGAGGGTAACTATCCGTATGTATTATTTAGTAATATAAATGACAAAATTATTATTTAATATAATTAATACTAAATATTATTAAATTATTAACGTTATATATTTATTATTAATTATTTAATATTTAAAAAAAAAGAAATAAATTTAATAAAAATAAAGTATAACTTTTTACGTGCGTACATAAGTACACGCACCCTTTTTTTTATTGCTTAGATGGGTGGACGAGATCGCAGCCCACTTGATTTTAAGTGGTTACTGGAGCCCATAGACATCTACAACGTAAATGCGCCACCCACCTTGAGATATAACTTCTAAGGTCTCAGTATAGTTACAACGGCTGCCCCACCGTTCAAGCCGAAACGCATTACTGCTTCACGGCAAAAATAGGTAAGGTGGTGGTACCTACCCGTCCGGACTCACAAGTGTAAATGACCTTAAGAGACTCCTAGATAAAACAAAGTTTACTTAATGGACATGTTCTAATACGGTGTTTCCCAACGTGAGATCCACACCCCACAAAGGGGCAATTTGTTAATTAAGGGGAGCAATCCACAAAATTAATATAGAAAATCTGTGAAGTCGTCGTGGACTAAGGGATAAGACGTCCGGTGCATTCGTGTGGAGCGATGCACCGATGTTCGAATCTCAGGCGAGTACCAATTTTTCTAATAAAATACGTACTCAACAAATGTTCACGATTGACTTCCACGGTGAAGGAATAACATCGTGTAATAAAAATGAAACCCGCAAAATTATAATTTGCGTAATTACTGGTGGTAGGACCTCATGTGAGTCCGCGCGGGTAGGTACCACCGCCCTGCCTATTTCTGCCGTGAAGCAGTAATGCGTTTCGGTTTGAAGGGTGGGGCAGCCGTTGTAACTATACTTCTTGAGACCTTAGAACTTATATCTCAAGGTGGGTGGCGCATTTACGTCGTAGATGTGTATGGGCTCTAGTAACCACTTAACACCAGGTGGGCTGTGAGCTCGTCCACACATCTAGCAATAAATAAATAAAAAATAAAAAATAAAAAAATATTTGAATTTGAATTTCAGTTTTTTATTATATGTTTTGAAATATTACTTGCTGTGTTCTGATAACAATTTCATAGTGATTTCTTCCTAAATCCTATCATTTGTGTTTCTTAAGTGAACATATCAATTTTTTTATGTTAAAAATTATTTTAGGACGCATAAAAATTTTAGAAATGTTACAGTGGGGCATGACACAAAAAAGGTTGGGAAACACTGTTCTAATATGTACTTACTTGAGGTCCATAATTTTCGGAAACCCTTAGGAATCGCACCCAATTGCAGTGTCGAACTTGGATGCCGCCTGTCGTGCACACCTCATCAAACAGGCCGAACCGGTGTCGAACCTGCGTAGTAAGAGAACGTTAATGCTGTATGTAAATGTCAACTTTTATAGGCTCAACAAGCAGCAAATACAGCTGCTATGTTCCTCTCGGACCAACATATCTCATTCACTATGAAGGAATAATTTTCAAATCAAAAAGGAAAATGTGTGCACTTGCACACACGGTAGAAGTGAACCTTATAAAATATAAAAATAATCGCAAGGGTCAACCACTCCGCAGTGCAATGGAGCAGCCTCGCCCTGGGTGAACCGCCTGCATGATCGCGGTATCCCGGCGCCAGGTAGGTATGATTTAGCAAGAGAAATACGAGAACGTCTATCAACTGTGTAACATCTCGTCACCACGACTCAGGAATTGTTGAATATACGTGCAGCGAAATCAACAGATTTGTTATCAACAGTTATCAACAGATAACAAACTAAATAGAAATAAAATAAACATGGCGCGTAACGGAAGAAATTAAGATGGCGCGTAACCGAAAAACGTTACATACGTTTTTCCTCCCTACGTCGATAAAGAAGTTTCACTTAAAAAATCGCTTTTCATCAATTCGTCTCAGAACTAGAGAGTCTTCGAGAACTTCGAGTCTCGAGTGTAATTTTCGATGAATTATTTAAAAAAAATCCTACATTATAGCCATATACTTAATTATCAAACATAGAAAGAAATACAACTTGGCCCGATTCGAAGTATTTTAAGATGGACCGTAGGTATGACAACAAATGGCAATTGTGAATTAAATACAAATCTGCGTTAATAATCCTTTTAGTATATTACTACCATCCCATTTATCTTGGCCACGAAGCGGTCATTACGTTTTCATAGAAAGAACAAAGGAGCTAAGACCATAATTAACAGTAATATAAATGTACACTAGAAGTATAATCTTCGAATTAATTAAAATCACTTTTACGGCTTAATATCGCGTTTTTAGTGTTACTATTATATAATATTATTCCGGTCATTTCGAATAGTTTACAGTTTTGGGTGCACGAAGTCATAATACGTTTCAGTGTGAAGGGTGAAACAGCCGTTGTACTGTAAAGCTTCAACTAAGAACTCATAACTCAAAGAGGGTGGTAGCTTTGACGTTGTCGATGCCTACGGGCTCCGGCAACCTCTTAGTATCAGGGGGGCCGTGAGCTCGTCTATTTATCTAATCAGTAAAAATATTTAAAAATCACGGACGAGTAACGTATTATTTAATTTTGTCGACATTGCTATATTCTGCTAACTACCATTTATTTTTCTGTGAAATTTATTTCTAGATCTACATTTCATTTCACTTGGAACGAACTAATAGTATTTTGAGATATGGCAGTTTGTTTACCTTGGGTTCACATCACTGAAGTATGAAACCTAAGGTTTACATATACACGGTAAGACGATCCCAGGTGGCAGATAAACGCAAACCATCTTCTCTATTAGATTTAAGATGTCTTTTGACGTGACAACGTCTTATAATTCGATGGAGCTGGCTGCACGCACGAAAAAACATGACTCATTGAGGCGTTCCATTAAGGCTTGAAGTGCAAGCGAGAGCGCGCAACGAGCGACAAAGAGGCACAATCGGCCTCTATACTGCTATACAATAATACATTTACATGTTTTCGTCAAGTATGAAGTTCAGTGAAAAGTGAATGTGGTGTCAATTTGGGTTCAGGAGGTTTGGGTAGCGAAATGTTTTTTTTTTTTATAGCTTAGATGGGTGGACGAGCTCACAGCCCACCTGGTGTTAAGTGGTTACTGGAGCCCATGGACATCTACAACGTAAATGCGCCACCCACCTTGAGATATAAGTTCTAAGATCTCAGTATAGTTACAACGGCTTCCCCACCCTTCAAACCGAAACGCATTACTGCTTCACGGCAGAAATAGGCAGGGCGGTGGTACCTACCCGCGCGGACTCACAAGAGGTCCTACCACCAGTAATGTTTTATTTTATTAAATCTGATAAAACATGCAGACTTGTGTTCTCGCTTATTCTTCACGTCCACGAATTGCTACGGAAATCTAACTAATGTATTTATAACTGTTCAAAGAGTTTGAGTTGCTTCGCTAAAGAGATAAACGCAGGTTACAATCATAAAGCTACTGTTTGAGATTAAGTTTTGTAATTCCGAGAACGAATGTAAATTTTATGATACGGAATTAATTTTATTTAAACACAATTAAATGAAACAGTCGTTTATAATCTGAATGCACAACATGTAAAACAGTGGATAGTGAGCTTAACCGCATTATCATAAAAGCAATGCAGATTGCGCGCATTTCTCTAATCAGACCTCTCACAGATTAATATTTATCGAAACAGATGTGTCCCGTTTTAAAATTATATCATTGAACTTTTTTTGCTTTAACGCGCTCGTCAGTGAAAGATTGTTTTTCTTACCGCGAAGCCTAACCTTTGCCACAGTTGCACGTCATTGGCATTTTGTCTTAAAGACTCCTAGAGGTCTTTGAGCAAAATGCCAAGTTCGCGAAATCTTTGTAATAGATAGATAAACACTGGGTGGTCCGTCGGCACAAATATCTCAGATTTATGAGAATGTATGTGATATAGACAAAAAAATCTTAGACAGAAGTGCTGTGTCTGTCAATAGCGATACCTTGTGATGATTACACCTTCTCTGCCTAAATTTACCAAACAGAAAAGATTATTCAATTCGCTTGAAATAATTTTAAAGATACCTATAATTCATTACTTCGGGAATTGACTCGTCGTAATGAGAGAATGTTAACCGATGCCATTAATGATCTATCGTAATTAAGACGTTTGATGAATTACGAAAGTCAGAAGTCGTGACCATATTAATTATATTAATAATCATGTTCGTGTTTCGTCGAATATTTACGTTTTCATCATTTTACTGCAGTTGTAAAATAAAATCAGATTATATCGAACTTAATGATTATTTTTCTAATGAAATACGTACTCAACAAATGTTCACGATTGACTTCCACGGTGAAGGAATAACATCGTGTAATAAAAACCAAACCCGCAAAATTATAATTTGCGTAATTACTGGTGGTAGGTAATACCACCCCGCCTATTTCCGCCGTGAAGCAGTAATGCGTTTCGGTTCGAAGGGTGAGGCAGCCGTTGTAACTATACTGAGACCTTAGAACTTATATCTCGAGGTGGGTGGCGCATTTACGTTGTAGATGTCTATGGGCTCCAGTCACCACTTAACACCAGGTGGGCTGTGAGCTCGTTCATCCATCTAAGCAATAAAAAAATAAATAAAAAAAAATATCTCTAAAATAAATGAAAACACCATTCATATTGTCTCTTGTCTTTTTCCTACGGTGCGTTTCAAAATAATTAATTTCTGTCACGTACTGCAATTTTTCTTTTTAAATGAGGTTTGAAGTATATAAATATTCCTTACCTGTAGGTGGTGGAGGCGATAACGAATTTATAATTGTTATTAATTTTGAAGGAACAACACACTCGTCCTAAAAAATCAATCATCGTCATCATCATCTCAGCCTTTCCACTTCCCACACCGCACTTGCCAATGAATAAATAACTCAATAAAAAACGAATAGTATGCAATAATCTATCTACTAAAAGGCAGAAAGCAAAATAGTTTCATACCCATTATTTTGTTTAGTATCATACAAGTATTAACATATAGTATTACAAACGATAATAAATTTGTATTAACACTCATCAAGACATATCTAGTGTACTCAAAAACGATAAGTTAGCTAAAAGGTATTTAGTATCGGTTAAACGGTATATACCTTTTAGAGTCTTGACGATAAAAAATTCCCAATTTCATGCTTTTATAAATACCCCTTAATAACACGCATAAAAATCTATGCAATTAAATTACTTCATATATCTCTATGAAGATACAGAGCATTCTAAAACTAAACTGGACTAGGTTTTAAAACTTTACACAAGATATTACCACGTATGACACTTCTATTTTTTTTGTTAATCTTTGAGAATTAGATATCTTTCAAGTAACCGCTGTACCGAGGTTACTGGTACGTAATGACGTGAAAATTACTTCAAACATGAACAGCAAGACAGCAGTGAGCCGCAAAATTCAATCCGACAATCAAATGAATGGGATTTAAGGATATAACGAATGCTGGGGTAATTTAATTCTTCGAGTCTAGTAACGCATATTGTAGAGAGAAACGAAAATCATTACCGAATTAACTCAACAGAATGAAAGACTATGAAACTGTATTACTATAAGTCCAACCAATCATTAAACTTAACTTTCTTACTTAATTTGTTTTTTTTTCCTACCTAAGCTGATAGCCTTGAGAGGCTATTTCAGCGTAACCTTAACTAGTAGGTGAGCTCACGGGCCTCAAACCGGAGTCATGCTAACACTGACCCTAAAAAGAGCAGTGCTTCGCAGAATCTACCACCGGATCGGAAATACGACCCACTGAGAAGATCCGGCGAGAAACTCAGTGGGCTGTGTCTATGGGTTAATTCGCTCGTCGAGCCCTTCGTCGCAAGCCACGGGCTCGACGAGGACGGTGACCGGCTTACTAATAATACTCTTTACACGGTTATAAGAGTTCACAGACCACGTGGTATTACTTTGTAAGGGGTGTTCCTTTGAAAATATAATAGAACTTATGACTGCGATGCTATAGAAACAGACCGCCGTACCACCAGTTTTAACTTTATAATGCTATTTCTAGTTGAAAGATTTGCGACACTACTTGCTGTGGTTGTGGATTATTTAAGTGTTAGCAATCGTTGAGGAGCGCTCGGGCTGTTGTTAGGAAACCCTCCCCTACCTAGTGGGCTCTTGATTTCGCTTACCCGTTCTAGCTAAATGATAAGGTCTACAAACCAAACGTAGTCGCTTCATCCCAAAAAGCTATAATTACAACTGCACTAATTGTTACTGTAATTGGTGGTAAGAAAAAAATCGATTATCCAATTTACGTAACATGAAATCGATTTTCTTACCTACCGTAGTTTACTTTACATTCAATTCTGGTCTACAACTCCTACAAAT